AAAATACAGATATTGTTTCAGTTTGCTGAGTAGTCACAAAAAAAAAGAAAAAAAAGTTTTTGCAATTTCAACTTAATGAACAAAACAAATTTTTTTGTATGAAAATATTTTGATGCAAGACTAGTAATTTTTCAGGTTTTCAGGTTTGTGTTAACATATCAACCAAGGGTCCAGCCTTTGGCTCTATGCTCTGTGATCATAGCAGAGGATTGCTATTGGGTTGAAATAGAGAAGCTCTTTTGTAGGATAATCATTTTAAGGCATTTTTTAAACCCCAAATATAATTTGCAGTCAGTGCCTAGCCCCAGTATCTGAAAGCTTTGATTATCTGGATCAGATAGAACTAAACTCTGCAAGGCGGCATATCACCAGGACCAGGACCGGGTACCCCTGTCTTGGGAGAATAGTTATCTTAGAAAGTCTTAAAATTACACTTAAGTCCCTTAAACCCCCAGGCTCATTACACCCCAAGGCCTTTTATTCAGTAATTACATAGAAAAAAATTGCAAACCGTTTTTCCTGTTACACAACTGAACACTGGACTGGCGGGTCTTGGTTACTGAAAGGCTTAAGACGTGCTTTTCCCTCAGCAGACTCAATTTTGTCTTTACAGCCAAAACTGAAAAATGTTCATAAGAACAACTCAATTTGGCCCAGTTTATTATTTATAGCAAGCCACTTGTTTGAGAATCCCCCTTCAACAATGTTTACTAATGTATAATTACTAATGTACTAATTACTGAAAGAAGAGTACTATTTAGCTGTTGCATGTACTGCAAAACAATATGGAGTGCTATTTTTGTTTTTTTTTTTGTGGGTTTGTTCAATGTCCTTACGCTATAAAAAGACACTGCAAAACATTTGAGAGGACTAGTGTAACTTCTAGCATTTTTTCCATTCAAATTCATAATACTGTCACTAAAATGGCATTATGACTTATAATGAGTTAAAAATTGCAATGATTAATTAAATCATTTATTGTAACAGCTGCCAATATTGTGATCTGTTGAAAAGTGTAAAACCACAAGCTGCAACGAATTTTAAACGGCTGGAAATTATTTGTGCACCCAGTCCACTCAGTAAAGTGTGATTAAGCCATCACATAAATAGCATCACCTGTCTGTTTATTCATTGTATAACATGATCCACAGGTATCTTGGATAATTACTGCTGACTTGGCAAATCATCAGATGTCAGAGGTTGAATATTGGACATTTGCTATTCTGGCATTCATTCACTTGACACATTTAGTGTGTTATTTAGTACAGTGAAGTGCATATACAGTGCTTTGCAAACATATTCAACCTCCTTAGAAGTCATCAGATTTGTCTGGATTACAAATTACACTTCTTCAGGAGATCTTAAAAAAATGTAACAACTGAAAATAGCTGCTTGCATAAGTATTCAGCCTTATGTCTGTTGGGTAAGTTTCTGCCAAGTCTGTACACTGTTTGGGAGTGATTTTGACCCATTCTTTCCAGGTTGTTCAGGTTGGTTGGATGATGCTCGTGGACCCCAATTTTCAAACAGTGCTACAGATTCTAGATTGGATTGAGATCTGGACTTTGGCCTGGCCCTTGTAGAACATTCACCTTTTTGTTATTCAACCACTTCTGTGTTGCTTTAGCTTTGTGCTTGGGATAATTGTTCTGTATTTTGCACTAGCAATTTGTCCTTCATTTTTAACAAGATGCCCAGTCCCTGCTGAGCAAAAGCATCCCCACAACATGATGCTTGCACTCCCATACTTTACTGTTGTGATGGTGTTTTCTGAGGAATGGGTAGGGCATGACATATAGCGCTTTGAGTTTTGACCAATAAGTGTCATTTTTGTCTCATCTAACCAAAAACCTTATCCTACATTTTAGCCGGGTCACTCTGATGCTTTCTGGCAGACTTTAAATGTGCTTTGATGTACATTTTCTTCTATAATGGCTTCTTTCTAGACACCCTCCCATACAGGTCAATTGTACGCAGAGACTTTGTAGCTCCTTCAGAGTTATTGTTGGCCTCTCTGTGGCTTGTGCCTGGGTGGTATGATGCAGCTTCCATTTCTTCACAACTGATCCATCATTTGGAATCCAGACCTGGACTTTTAAGGGGGTTCAATACTTTTGCAAGGCACTGTATACAGTAGAGAGCACCCTTTTGTTCATTTAATTTACAGTCAAAATGGCCATTAAGTAAGTTTCTATCAGTTTCAGGAAAAAAGCAGAAAACATACATTCATTAAACCAAAGCCTTCAACACTAAGTATACCATACCTATCAGTCTTTAAGTTGTTCACTCTTTTGCACTTTTGTGCACACTGCTGCTACTTCCATTTCCACTTCCAGTCTTTAAATCAAGGAGTTGCAGTTGAGTCCTCACAGCCAAAGGTCTTTCCAAAGGTGTCACTGACATTGTTAACACTAACCTTTACACAAGTAACTACCCAAACACAGCTTAGCTGCCTTGCAAATTTCTGTCATGTGCATCTAAAATGGCTAAAGGAGATATTTCTGAGGAGATGTAAGATATAAGATGTAAGTGAAAAATGGGAGTTTACAAAACTGTTTACAACTTAAAGCTGTTTAAAAACTTTCATCTTTGAAAAAAGGGGAAAATCATGCTTTACTCTTGCTTCAGATCTGAAGAAATCCACAGGTTTTTATGTCCATCAATCCACTGTCTGAAGAAAGCTGTAATAATGGCGAAGGGTGGCCACACTACAGTACTTAAAATTTTGATATTGTAATGCTCATTGCTATTAAAAGAGATACATTTCAGTGCTTTATTTTCAAGCTGTTGTCAGCTACAGCCACGCTGTTTATAAGCAGAGTTTTTTCACTAACAGCTTGCTCTTTGACTCAGTTAATCTCTCTCTCCTCTTTGCTCACACACGTTACACGCCCCCCGGGATGCTTCCCAGCCTCTTCAATAAGAGTTCACAGCAAATGTACCAAGTGCAATAAATGCTGGACAACACTTAACCTAAAACTAATATGTCAAAACAGTTCTTGAATATGCTATAATATTATATTTAGTTGTTGAGGCTTTTGTGTTATTTTCTTTTAAATATAGTTTTTATGCTTGTACTAATACTAAATGGCTGTTTTGAATTAAATAAATGAAAAAATGGTCTCTGAAATTTGCACATTACTGTATGTATTAGCACTGGCATAAGAGATCATGTTTAGGGTATTTCAACAAAATAATCATTTTATATTATATTTTATATAGTAATATGGGAACTTAATATGGTAGTTTAATTTTGGTACATGTTTGATATGTTTTTGTGTGTATTTACAGTGCAGCCAGTAACAGTGGTAATAGTTTATGTTGTTTTGGCTATGTACTCCAGCACATTGAATTTGAAATGAAACAATAAGTATGATCTATGGCAATGTCTCTTTAGTTTATGCACAAGAGAGATAACAAAATTTCTGAAGCTGATTCTGAATGTCGTATTAGCATCTAAAGTCTGGTGTCTCACAATATTTAGATCAAAGTGTGTCAGTGTGAGTTAAGCAGAAATTCAGGAGGCTAAAAAATCTGAACAAATCAACTAGAACCTCAAAACATGAGGTCTCAAAATAAATTCTTTGGTACATTTTTCATAAGCAAGAATGCACAAGTGAGCTTGAGCAACAGCAAACAACCTGTTTTATCACAGGTTGTATCATCAGATCTCAGGAGTGAATATCCAAAGCTTACTCTCAACTATGAAAATCCTTCCAGGATGGATTCATGATGGATTTTACAATAAAGAACACATCAGCAAGATTTATCATAAGATGCAAACCACATCTAAGTCATAAAGGGGAATTCCATCTATTTTCAAAAATTCTTCATAATTGAGTTATTTAGATATAAACAAAGTTATTCTGAACGGTTTGATGTGAAATGGTTCATTGTAAGAAACTCACCAACTCAGATTTCCTGACAGGAACTGGGTACTGATAGGAACCAGGGGTCATGATGCAAAACTATAACCATTTTATTTACTATCAGAAACAACCAGTGAACCTACACGTGTCTTTGTACATGTAATATTGCTAATAGTAAAATAGTGGTAAACCAGAAAAAAATGTTTTGGGTACTATTTTACTTTTATAAGACTCTGAATATACCTCTCTGCCATGAATGGCCAAAACATTATATCAAAGCCATATCATAAAATAGTGGCATCTTAAAGAGAAATTGCTCACCAGAAAAAAAAAAATGTAAAAAAAAATTGTAACATAACCAATTTCACAGCTTTTTTGAGTTAATTTAGGTTAGTCAATTTCTCTTTACTTACATTTTGATTTTTGTACTTGTAATTGTATTGTCAGGTGAACAATACAATTTAAGTTGAGCTTTCTCAAAAACGTGCTACCTCACGGTACCTCAGTAAATGTGCCATTTCACTGTAAGTTAAAGTTGCTCAAATCTTTACTTCTGTCCCCTTCTAATTTCCACATGCAGTTTAAGACTCCCCCTATCAATGTATTTAATTTCACAGTTCTAGAGTGGTACAAGTGTCACATCATCAGAAGATCCTTTGTGAATCCAGGTGATGCTGTAGCCTTTCATGGTCTAAGAGTAAGAAGCTCTCACCCCTCCCAGTCTAGGGACAAAGTAAGAGTCCTATTATGCAGGTGGCAATTAGCGATGAATAAACTGAGGAGGAAGTAATGATCCAACATATGATGTAAGCAATTTTAGCTTATAATAGAGGCTGTATGTTTACAGCTTTTACCTAAATTACGTAAAAAAAAATGTTGCTTTTTGTTTTATTGTTCAACACTGTTTGCATAATTCAATAGTTCAGACATAATTGTTCAAAGTAGTGGTGATAAGAACCAAGTGTCAAAAGTTTTAATGCTGCCAAAAGCTAAATCATAGGAAGTTATTGCATGAAATGGCTACAAATATGCTACCTGATGAGATATAGTTTTAAAACAGATTTAAGAGAAGATTTTGGCATGTTTAAAAAATGCATTCATGGTGAAAAGGTACATGCAGGGTGTTGTAAGGCAAAATAGTCCCAGAATAAAGCTGTTACCACTGTTATCCACCATTATTAACATTACATTTAAAAACTCAGAAGACACATCTGGGTACACTGGTGGTTTTTAATTGTAAATGAAATGGCTATATTTGCATTGTAGACATCACAATCCCTGGTATTCATCACCACGGCTGTAAAGAAATCAGAGTCTAGAGAAAAGAGAGTCTAGGGTTATGGTTAGCTAGTTCCTATCAAAAATCAATTCCTATTAAGAATTCTGAGTTGATAAGTTCACATCAAACCACTCTGAATGACTGTATACATCTCAATCACCAAATTTTGCAGAAATTTTGAAAAATTAGTTGAAAGCCACTCTAACATCAGTAGTCAGTTTCTCTTCATTTTTAATGTGCAGGAGTAGGAGTCTAAATTAATATTGCCACTGTCCAGTTAATTGGCTGCATTATAAATGCACAGGAGCGTGTCCTTTTTCTGATATGCACAGTGAAAATTGTGCTTGATAGGTGGTGTGTCAGATAACTCACATACACATACATAATATATTGGCAGAAAGGCCTTTGCAAACAATGAGCCCAAGAGAGCTGAAGTCTGTCTAAATGGACCACACAAAGGCTGATAATATGCTCTTGTTCATATTGAGTTGTTGACAGCAAGCGTCTCCACTGCCTAGTTCACGAGTATGCAGGTATCTCACTTGAGCAGGGGTTCGTGTAAACACAATGATTCTGGATATGGGGTCATCAGTAGACGTTTCTTGGTAGCCTTGCTCAGTTTCAGCACCACAGGAAACATCTTCATTTTTATCTCACTTCACCAGCTCAAGACTATCTCACTGCACTCGAGCATGTTCATTCCACAAACATCTGAAACACAGTGCAAAAAGAAAGAGATCAGCATTCCCTTTCTTATTTATTGTTGCTGCCTCATATAAATCTTCTGCTTTGCTAGATGATATATAACTTCAGACTTGGGACAGTATGGCCAAAAAATTATTTGTACAGTTTTTCTCTTACCACAAAATGTAGTCGTACACCTCAAACCACACTTGGGTTGTTAAGTAATATAGACATCTTATGTTTTCCAATGTATGACATACTTTATCTATAAAAATGTACTAAAGTGCAAGCAAAATTGAAGCTTCAAGATGGCTGCTACAGCGGTTTTAGCTATAGTATGTGACATACTTTTGTTTTGTTTACTGCTGATGGAGAAGTGTCTGCAAAAATATTGAGGGTAACATAATGACTTGAACTAGCAGCAGTTAGGGACACTTATACACAAAGTAACAATAGCTACAAATATTTTTTCACAATATATGGAAAAAAAGGATTTGTGAGTGTGAAGAACCTTTTACAGGTTTAAAGAACTTTCCCAATTCATGAATTCGTCCTAAAACCTTTACATTATGTACATTTTTATGGACATTATATACATTCTTTAAAATAAAAAAAAGTAAGTAAAAAGGTATTTTTTAAAAAAATATATCATTTTTATTTTTATTCATAGTTTGAAATGTAAAATTATGCGATAACGAGATTAGGGCTGTGAAAAGTTGAATATTCTGTTGTGGCAATATGGAAAAATAATACCTCACTATAAGTTGCAGTGGATGGTATTTCCGGTATAATGCTCAGGATTACTGTAGACGTTATTAAAGTATAAAGTAACAGCTTTAGAATCATATGCTCTGAGAAATCCTTTGAAGGCTAGTGTTGCAAACGCACAGGCATGATGTGATGAAACAGAGGTGTTACAGTCACACATGCATTTATATATAAAAACTTCAAGTCAGATACATATACACAACTGATGACACACACACACCCACACACACATACATACACAAATTACATGTATATATGTAGAATATAAAGGCATAGTTTAATGCAAAAAGGTGCATGTAACATAAATAATCAAGAAAGACTACATGTGCAGTCACGTACACATGCACACACTATATATATATATATATATATATATATATATATATATATATATATATATATAAGCTTCTCATTTTTGCAGTAACCTGAGAACTCTTGCACAGTAAAGTCTTAAAACACCAACATCTGGAGCTATACACAGAGTCTCTCTCTCTCTCTCTCCCCCACCCCCCCTCTCTTTCTCTCATTCTTAGACACACATACACAATTGCACACACACATTAACGGGTAAACTTGTGTCTGGGTTTTTGTAAGGTTCTCTGGTTTCAGCCTTTTTCTGTACTGATGCAACTTTAGAGCTATGAGAAGGACTGTTCAACTGTTAGGCGCCACTATGTGGGACAGCCCAGTGCACGCACACACTCACACACACACACACACACACACATGCACACACACACACACACACACACACACACACACACATGCACACACTCACACACACACACACACACACACACACACACACACACACACACACAGTGTACTCTTACTTTGTGAGTGTGCATGTCTGTGAGAGGAAGTGAGAGACAGAGAGTAGGAATAAAAAGAGAAAGATTAAATCCACAGCAACTTCATTGCGTAAACAACTGTTCCTATTCCAATCCCATTTCTTCAGCTTAATAGCAAATCAACCAGCAGGATCATCAAAATGCTGCTCTGACACCTAAGTGTACCATCAGTGTATTAGTGACTGTTGCTACTGATATACACATTAGGCTGACTCAATCTTTGTGTGGTGTTCGGGTCTGTGGGACCCATTTTTAATGTTTATCAAAAGAAAAAATGATGTGATTTATTATTATTTCAACCCCAGATTCCTTGGCCTTTGCTCATTTTCTGTGAAGAACAAATAAAATAACACATTTTCAATGACCTCACACTGCACACCCCCCACAAATTTATATTACACATGTGGTGTGGGGGCCCTGCGATGGACTGGTGACCTGCCCAGGGTGTATCCTGCCTTCCGCCTGATGACAGCTGGGATAGGCTCCATCTGTGTGCATGTGTTTGTATACATGTGAGTGTGTCTGAGGGTGGACAACATGGACAGGCTGCTGACTGGCTACAGCTGCTAAAGGAGAATCCTACGCTGACCACTTGTGATATTTTAAACATCTGGTATTTTTACATAAATTGTTATGGCTGTACCATACTCACTGAGTAACAAAAACATGAACACCACACAAGGGTTAAGTTTTTAAGTACTCTTAAGAGTGATATCACTAGACTCGAGCAAAAGGCAGAATTGTACATTAGAAGTGATCTGGATTATAATATAGTTCCACTTTGATTTGTATATTGAATTTTTGTAGAATGGTATTTCTTAACCAAATGATGTCTTTTGAGGCAAACATGTGTTGTAGCAGTTTGCACATTGTTGGTGACCATCAGGGTTATTATCACTGTTAATAATAAATATTTCTAAAAGAAAATAACCAATTTGCCTAGTTTCTGACAAAATATTTACCATAATGCAAATGCATAATGCAAATCAAAACTAAAAGTGAAACTAAATTGAAACAAAACAAAAATTATATACATACTCTTTAAAGCTGACAAACTAAACTGAAATCATAATTAAAATAAAAATAACAACTAATGAAAAAATAAACTATAATAATCCTGATGGCCATAAAAGCTTCCATTAACTGTTAGTTTCATTAGTCTGATAGCTTAGGGGTGTCCATCTCAGTCCTGGAGGGCTGGAGTCCAGCAGAGTTTTGTGATTTCACTTCTTTAACACACTAACAAAACATGGCAATTAGAGAGATTCCTTCTTACCTGGGCTTCACTTTTCTGATCTCTGATGCTTAAGCATCTCCTCTTGAAAGCTGGTTCTGCATCCTGACGCACGTTACTATGTTCAATGTTGTATGGAACTGCGTGTGAACTCCTGTTCCAAGTGTGCACAATTGTGTGAGAAAGTGTACGTGCTGCTGTTAGTGTGATTGTGTGTACACCCTTCTCTCGTAATTTTGGTGGGATGCATCGTGCATAAGTGTGTTCTTCATCAGTCGCAAGAGTGTCGCCTTCACTGGGCTCTGACCTGCTATCCTCTGACTGGTCTGTTTGGCAGTCTGTTTGCTCCTCTGGGCAGGAGCACTTTAAGTTAGATTCCTGGCCTTCTGAGAAGTTCTCTTTCACATCCCCTCTTTCACAAATTTTTTTTTCAGGCTCAGGGTTAGGAGGGACTTGAATTTGCCCAGAGTTTGTTCTGTTTTCAGAGGGTGTGTTAGGTCTGTCAGTTGTCACTGAGGTGGCCTGAAAGGAGGGCAAGCTGGCTGATGAGAATGAGGAGGGAACCGAGACTGGTTTGACTACTGTGTTGCTCAGTAACATGGAGACTGTAGGAGTGACTACAGAGGCCATATTGCTGCTATAGGGGTTGAGTGCTTTTCGTAGAACAAATGAAGTAGTTAGAGCTTGTGTTGGCAAAGATACATGCGCAAGGGCTGAGCTATGCACTGTGGTTAATGCTAAAGTGCCTGTGCTATGATTAGGTGATTTTTTTGCAATTGAATCATCTTCCCCCTCAAGGGTACTCCAGCCAGGCCCTTCTTCAGCCTCTCTCTGCACAAGCCCAACCTGGGCTCCTTCAGGCTCCTGCTTCAGTGGGTGTCTGTGGACCACTCTTTGGATCACCTGCCGCTTCCTACCTTCGTCCCTGTCCTCTGCAACATGAGCTGCTGATAGGGGAGGAGAGGCAATGAGCTCCAGATGAGCAGATGGGCTATGCAAAGTTAAAGATGAAAAAGGGAAAGAACAAGAGTCTGGAGGAGATGGAGACTCTTCAGTTTTTATTCTGTGCTCAACTAAACTGTGGTGGTTGATCTCGGTATGCTCAGGCATCTTCTCTTTCACTAAATCTCCAGAAATGATCAACGTGGTTTCTGGCCCCCTTTTCCCTTTCTCCTCACAGTTCCGAATGACACTTGCATGACCCGAAACCCCCGAGTTGAGAAGTATAGGTATGGGTATAGGCACAGGCACAGGGAGTGGAACGATAATTGGGTATGGCACCAGAACAGTAGGTTGAGTACATGGGAGGCCCAAAGATGGAACAAGTGGAGGAACAGTGTGAGGGTACATGGGTGCAAAGGGCAGGACCGACCCTATATATGGGTGGAAGGGGCGTGGCGGGGGCAGTGAAATAATAGGGGGTGCCTGTAATTGTGGAGATGGATGTAGGGGTCTCTGGACTGGGCTGGAAGTAGGGTTATGAGGTGGCTGATGAATGGTGCTGTGGAGACCTTGGGCATGGAGGGGCGGCCGAAACAAAGAGGGAGGGTCCTGAAGCACCCGTGGTTGGTCTACAGCAAGGCAAGGAGCAGGCTGTCCATTATGGAGCTGTGAAGAACCCAATATCTCCTGCTCTTTCTGATGCTGGCCTGGGACAGGTGCCTTCACCAAGGTAGACAATGAGGAGCTTAACACAGATGCTGCTGAAGACATCACTGGTGTAGGTGCTTCTTTAGGTGATGGAGTTTTTCTTTCTCCCTCCAGGGAAGGGTTGTCCCAGGACTCTGGCGTGAGAAGAGTTTGACTCTCTCCAGTGGCTGGTTGGCTCTCCTTGTCTAGGTGGCTAGGACTGGAGTCAGCACTGGTGGTGGTGAGAGCAGCCCGGGCTTCCCGGTAGAATATATCCATCTTGTACTGGTTAAGGCACTTCGTGCTGCAGAACTGAAGCCTTTCTTCACCTGCACCAAAGTCCAGATACTTAGTGTGACGCACATGCTTGCACCAGTCACATACCTGGAAGGTACAGGACAGAAGCCAAAATACTTTTTCTTTTTTAGCCCTTCATTGAACAATTGATTAGTGTTTGTTTGACATGAAACACACAGGCAAATATAGATGTGAAATTGCTATCCTGAAATAGCTACAACAAATGTTTCGGGACTGCCCACTGTCAGTAGCCTCGGGTACAAATGTTGTATTTGTGCTATCTGATGCCATGGAAATTTGTCTCACAGCTTCTACTTAAACAGCCTTTAGACTGTAGGCTTATAATTCTGACATGACAAGGGGAATTATGCCAAATGTTTCACCTAATTAAATTATTAAGATGTAAACAAAGTCATTCACAGTGGTTTGATGTGAAATGCGCCATTCAAGAAAAAGATTTTAAAATTTTTTTAGAGAACAACGTTTTTATACAATGCTCCATTTCACTTCAAACCATTTTGAATGACTTTGTTTATACCTCACTGACTGACTTCTGAAAAATGTGGAAAAATGTATGGAACTCCTTTTGAAGACTTTTTGTTCATAATGTAAAGAATAACTAGGTATGGTTCTATATTTAATAATATGAAACTTATATGAATACTATGTAAGTGGGGTATATTTTGATCAAAGAGACTATGTAACTTGAGAGCTCTTACTCGTGTGTTGCTGCTCATCTTAAGCATAAGCCGAGGAGGGGTTTCCGCTATCTGTCCAGGAGATAGAGGAGACTGGTCACTGTGCTGATCTTCATCTCGTACCTGAAAAACAGCAACTTCTAAATTGCACCTAAACTATAGTACACGGTAAACATTTTTTCAATGTTTTAAAAAAGTAACCTGGCTGCATTAAAATTTTGAGTTTTGAAGAAACTTAAAGTGGAAAGTGAACAGAATGTAAAACACTGATTATTGTCCTGTTAACTAACTATTAGAAGTTTAACAAACCCAAAAATGTAAGGCAACCAGGCAACTATGCTACATTGAAAGTGAGTGGATGTGCAGTGCTTGGTTTTCAAGTGGGTGAGTGGGTGTGCAGTGCTTGGTTCTTACTGAAAACAAGCTCTTGGGGTGTTTGCGGGTACGATGACTACCCAGTATGTGTATGTATAGTGACTGCTCCAGATTGTGGTAAGTTGATCCTGTGTTGGCTGTACCCAATGCTCTTGCTGTCTCGCTGGTGTTTGTAGAGTCTGAAACCTGATGCTGCTCCAGTAAAGTATGTGCTGCAAGAGGACACCCATCTCTCCATGGCGGCCCACAGTCCTTCCTCTCAAACAGGCTGCTACTTGTCTGTGTAGCCCCCTGTTTCTCTCTCTCCCTCTCTCTCTCTCTCTCTCTCTCTCTCTCTCTCTCTCTCTCCCTCTCTCTCTCTCTCTTTTTCTCTCTTTCTCTTCAGGCTGGTTATTCTTTTTCCGCTTCCCCTTGCTTTACTGTGGGAACAAGCTTTACAGCATGAACAGAAAAGTGCTATCAGCCAAAGACTTCCATTGACTGACTAGAAGATAGTGGCCGATGTACATGTGAGAGACTAAGATTTATAGTACTGTAGCAGTGTGTATTTCGAAATCAGTGTAGGGGGTAACAAATTACAAGTAACATGTTATGGTAATGTGACTACTTTTTCATTTAACAAAATAATATAATGCGTTATAGTACAAATTCAAGTAATCATATGACAGTTACTGACATAAGAATTTTGCTCCTTGTGTTTCTATTGTGTCTTTGAAAGAACAACATTAATTACACCTAATGCATTTTGAACAAGCATGTGCCACCGGTGTCAGCTGGAGAAGACAGTGTCTCAACCTCACCTAAACAGGCCAGACTCGATTTTCTTTCAGGAACAGCTCTGTACATTTTTCATTTTATTCCAAAAAGTTTTTTTGAAGCATCTCTTTTTTAATTTAATAAAGCATAGCCGGGTGTCTTGCTCAGAGCAGTGGCAGGTAGTTACACAGTTACTGAAATATCTTTTAAATGATGTTTTCTGTGCCTGACTATTCATACTACTGAAATGTTTTTTTCAGTTACTTTCCAGGTAGTACAGATCTGTATGGGTTTTAAAGAGTAAAGTAATAAGTAGTGATCACTTTTTCCTGAATGTAATCTGTTAAATAATTCCATTAGATTGTGAGGTAACAAATTAATAAACAATTAATTAATTAACCACAAATTAATAAAAAACAAATTAATCTGAGGTAACAAATTAATAAACAATTTGTAATTGATTATTAATGTAATGTAATTCCCCAACACTGGTAGAAGCCAGTATTGTTTTTATGACAACACTGCAGACTATTGTGTGAGCAGTGTACATCAGTATGAATATGAAACCAGTGTGTTGATGGATTAGCTAATACTGTCCTACTGAACAGTCTATCAAAGGTGTATTCCAGCTCTTCTATTCATGGATTGTCATTTAAAACAGGACAGATCAGATGAGTGTATTCCAATAAAGGTGTTTAAATGACGGTTTATCATTCATGAAAACAGTATTATTCTGTTTATTAATGAAGGTTTGGATCTGTAACCTTGGATGTGGATCTTTTTCAATTTTGTCTCTAAGAGAGTGACCCTACCCTGCACAGAAGATTACATTTTAAAGCTATTTAACTGGGCAGTAAGCCCAGTTTTCTTTTTGGAAGACTGCTATTATTTGTAGTTATCATCCAATATCTTGTTTGGCTCAATCAGTGCATCAAGACATCAAATCAGGTGTGCTGCTTATAGATTAGAACAGATCAGTGGAATGGCTAGGGGTATCGAGGCGAAATTGGAAACCAAACCTTGTGTCTTTTCAACCAATATAGGCATCAATTATTTTTTGAATGTAAAAATTACTTGTTACTTTTTTGCTGTCTTTATGTTTATTTGTATTTAATGTTATATAGTGTTTTTATTGGCAGAAATACATAAATGGTTTTAAACCATTTGTTTAGGTGCCTAGGATTTCTGCACAGTACTGTATGTACTGTATTTCCAGGCTGCAATGCTTGAAATGAGTTTAACCCCTTAAAAACCCAGGCTTATTGCATACTAAAGTGTATTATTCAGTAACTACAGGGACTTCAAAGCAAATTGGCTGAGCTATTCTTAGATTATAGAAGTGTGTAACAAAACTTTGTCCACTGACCCAAATGGACCCAAGCGGAACTAAAGCGTTCTAGCTCTTCTGGTGCACTTATTGGTGATGTAATACTGCTTAGGGACTTTATCTTCACCTGGAACAGTGAAGAATTTGCTAAGTTGTCATTGGTTTTTACTGCTAATGTTACCAAACACAGGGGAGAACACCCTCTAGTACTATTAGGTCCTGTTGGTAACAAACCTGAGCTGGTAGCACAAACTGTAAAACTGGAACCTTTGGTACTGAACTGAAGGCCAGTGGAAAAGTGCTAAAGGTATCTGGTGCAGAGGGAAAAAACCCTTTTGTGCAATGGAAAAACACCTGTTAGCCAGAGTCACTTCTTTGGAATGTGTAGGTCCGTTGGAAGGCTGCAATGATATGTTTGCTTCTTGATATCCAGGAACAGAACAAACTCCAAAACCCTTGATACAGACTGTCTGCAGTAACACCACCTCTTAATACTTCAGTGTAAATGGGCAGACAGGTGAAACTGTGAACCATGTAAATGTGTTCATTGCTGTGACATCACACCCGTGAATTTTGTTTCAGATGAAAGCATCTGAGATGTGTTCAGGCTGAACAAGAAGCTGTATATAATTTACAGCCTCTGTTGACGGGATAGAGAACAGACAAAAACCTTGTTGCGTTTGAAGTAGGCTCGGCGACACATGGCAAAGCACTTTTCACTGCAGAAGCTCTTCAGCTCAGAGCCCATGATCAGAGAGTAGCGCTTCAGTCCCTCCTTCTGACACCACACACATACTATTTGAATATTCTGCTGCTCTTCCACTGAAAGAGAGAGACCAGGAGATGACGGATTACAAATTTGTTAATGTGAGACACTGTGTATGCCAGTGAGGGGGTTTTTGAGTGTGTGTGGCTGCAGAAACACACCTGTAGGCGGCTTGATGAGCGGCACTACCACATGTGTGCTGTGCAAGTCCTTTGTGTGAGGGAAGGATGAAAATGATGAAGGAGAGAGAGGAAAGCAAGTGGATTCTCTCAATCCATTTTTAGCAGACACAGTCGAAGAGGATGAAACTTTACTCTCCACTGCACTAGACTTCGGATCGGAATTCTCTGTAGCAGAAAATTAACCATAATATTACAGATCAAAAGAGAAAAGAAGCCAATACGAATGTAGAAATAGTGAAAAAAATGTTTTTGAAACATGCTTTTTTGTGTGATATGGTACAATTCAGACAGATAACTAACCCTAAGAAGCTGCAGCTGTCTTTGGTGATCTGTGTTTGATATTAATTACCTCTAATGCATAGTTCAGTGAAACAAGCAGAAAAATTCATTCAAAAAAAAAAGTTTTGGACGATAATGTAAGTTTAGACAAAAGTGAACAATAAAAAGCCTTACCCTACAGCTGACATTTTCTCTAATAAAATAATCAACTGGCACCATTTTTTCTGGACAAGCTCATCCATTTAATTCTTTACCAGAGAGTAGATTGTAGAAAGTAGAGTTTTTGTTTCATTTGCATGTTCCCCAGTATTATTTGCCTGACTAAAAATCTACATTATAATCTTCCCAAGTGGTGTTCAAAGTATGTTCAGTGCTGTGTAAAAGTCAGAGACCACACGTCTGCAGGAATATTCTTCCACACCTCCAAAGTTCAGTCTTAGAATTTGATGCCACGCTCTGCTTTTCACAACAACCAGTCCATTGTTCTGAGAATACAAGCAGCCACTTTGTTTTATTTGAATTTTGAAATTTTTGTTGTTTATATTCTTTTTTGTCTTTCAGCCTACCTTCATAATGTTAAAAGGATGATGGATATCAAAAAATTCCTGCAGTCTTAACTGTGCTTTAGAATGGAGTTTCCCAAGGATAGCGGGCAAACAATTTATATTAAAGCCTCACAATGAGAAATGGTCACTTACAGCTGAGGTTTGTTAGCCCTACTGTCCGACAGTCTCTTTCCATGAACGATTTACCCAAGGTCAGTCCCGGACATATCATGAACAAAACCCAAAGATGGAGGATGGTTTATCTTGCTTTTAGATATCAACTCAATTTCCCTGAATGAGACACTTTGCTTAAACAGCTGGCAAATGAATACTAAAAAACAAATGTACACTTTCCCCCCTTACCCCAAAGGTCTTTGGTCAGCTAGCACATGTTTGGTGTCTGAAGTTTGCTTCTTTATTTTTGCACCAGGAGCTATGAGGCTAATGAAGCAACAAAATTCCAGCTTATTTCCCATTAATTTGCATTGTGTAAACTGCATGACTAAAATCACCATACACTTGCCTCTAACTGCCTCGAACTGTTCATGTCTTGGAGTCTGGGCCCTATGTGGGGCAAGGGGAAATTGATTTTTTGCTAAGCTGTTGCTATAATTTTGACCTCTACAGGTTTGTCTTCTTTCATTTCCTTTTATAAACCAAGCTTTATTTATATAGTGCTTTTTACAAAAAAGGCAGCTTTACAGAAAAATCCGGGTCCATGCCCCCAGTGAAAACATCATACATCCACAAAATCTGCTATAATGGGCTTTTTTTTTTGCTAGATTTTGCACCTGTATATCGGTGTGAGTGTAGGTACATCTGTGTGAACTCTGACCTTTAAGCACAGACAAGTGGTGGCGTCTTGCTCTGCTGGAGAAATTCCTGGTGTCAGAGGCTTCTGCATCTTGTAGGTCCACTTTGTCATAACCGTACCAACCAAGCAATTCATTCATCGTGCTCTCTGCGAAGCTCTGACAAACAAACACACACACACACACACACACACACACACACACACACACACACACACACACACATCCCTCAGAAACTGAAAGGATTTCTAAAACATAAGGGTAATGCTAGCTTTAAAGGGACCATTTATGGATCATGAACTCCGAAGTGTACAATGGTGATGCAAACATGCAGTAGTCTCCAAGAAACTGCTCAAACAAGAGAAGTGCATCTTTCAGCAGGATAAAAATCTAAAACACACCAGCTGCCTTTTGAAAGCTTTTATAATGTTCTGTTTAACATAAATGCTACTTGGTTTGACATATTGTTATCTAATACAATAAATTTAATACATGTATGGCACAAATGTCCAAGTACTTTTTGGGGCCACTGTAAATGACCTCTGTTCTGATTGGCTGTCTTCTATTGTAGTTCATTCAAAAAGCAATGTGAGCTACAACACTCCTTATAACTTGAATATGAATGAGCTGGGCTAAATATCTGTAGGCTAAATAGGCGTGTATGTGTTGGCAGGTCAGTAACATGATTGGTATAAAAAAGGCATCCCAGAGAGGTGAGTGTTTCAGAAGTAAAGATGAGGAGAGGTTCACCACTCTGTGAAAGACTGCACAAGCAAATAGTGCAACAATTTAAGCATAACATTTTTCAACGTAAAATAGCAAATGACTTTTGCTTTTCATCATCTATAGTACATAATAACATTAAAAGATTGAGAGAATCTGGAGAAAAACCAGTATTTACTGGCCCTTAGGTGGCACTACATTAAAAACAGACATGATTCTGTAGTGGAAATCACTGCATAGGCTCAGAAACACTTCTGAAAACCGCTGTGTGTAAAAACAGTTTGTTGCTGCATCCACAAATGCAAGTTAAAACTCTAAAACGTAAAGAAGAAACCATTTTCTTCTGATTCTAAATAAATAATAATGATTTCTTGTATAACTGTTATCACAACTGTTATCAAAGTGCTATATAAATAAAAATTATTATTATTATTATTATTATTATTATTATTATTACTATTATATATATATATATATATATATATATATATATATATATGTAAACAGGATCCAGGAATGCTGCCACCTTCTCTGGGTCCAAGCTCATTTAGAATGGACTGAGGGGAAGTGGAAAAGTGTCCTGTGGTCCGACAAATCAAAATTTGAAATTCTTTTTGGAAATCATGGACACTGGGTCCTCTGGGCTAAAGACCACTCAGCTTGTTAGCAGTGCACAGTTCAAAAGCCAGTATTCATGATGGTATAAGGGTCCATTAGTGCACATGGCATGGGTGACGTGCCCATCTGTGAAGGCAGCATTAATGCTGAACGATATATACATGTTTTGGCAACATATGCTGCCACCCAGACGACGTCTTTTTCAGGGAAGGCCTTGTTTCAGCAAGATGATGCCAAACTACATTCTGCCTGTATTACTACAGCACTGCTCCACATTAAAAGAGTCTTGGAGCTAAACTGACCTGTCTGCAGTCCAGCCCTGTCACCACTGAAAACATCTGCCGCATTATGAAATGAAAAATATGACAAAAATACGACCCTGAGCTGTTGAGCAGCTGAAATCCTATGTTAAGCAAGAACGGGAAAATATTTCACTTTCAAAACTACAGCAGTTGGTCTCCCCAGTTCCCAAATGCTTACAGAGTGTTTTTAAAAGAAGAGGTGATGAAACACAGTGATAAACATGCCCACGTCCCAACTTTTGGCATCAAATTCAAAATGGGCGTATATTTTTCAAAAAATAATAACATTTCTCAGCTTCAACATTTGATATGCTGTGTTTGTTCTATTTTCAATGAAATATAGGGTTAATGATTTACACATCATTGCATTTTGTTTTTATTTACATTTTGCACAGCGGGGGTTGTAAATACTTAACATACAATTTGGCTTAAAAGCAGAGCTCTCTCTGTCTGTCACAGTTTAGAGAGGTAATTTGATTCATGCTTAGCTGAAATCAGAGGAGGATACAGAACACCACAGCTGGGCTTTAGGCTTCCCAGAAATCCCCCACTTCTTTAGCCCTCACTTCTACAGTCCTCCAGTTCCCCCTTTCCACTTGTCTTCTTCTCAACTTTCCCCTCTCAAGTATCTGATTCCATCCGCTTTTCCCTCTTCCTCTCTTTCCACTCCTCTGGTTGCTTTTAAAGCTCTCTCTTCACTCACTCTTCTCTCCACCAGTTCTCACAACCAAAACAAACAGTCGGGGAGTCTCTCTCCCCCTCACTCTCTCGCTTTCTTTCTGTTACTCTGTTACCTGACTCTTTAGCTCCTTCTCTTATTTCACTCCTTCTTGCGAAAACACCTCTTTTTGAGATTGGAGAGATTGTCTGAGAAGGGCATGTTCTTTACCTCCACTACTCCATCACTCAGAACCCAGACCTGCCCAGTTAAAACCCATACGATGCATATATGTTTATGTTATTGGTAGGTGCTGACCAGGGCAGGAAGCTTCTGTGTCTGATTCTCACACCTTTTCCTTCTCTTCTTAAAGGTACACTTCAGCCAAAATGAAAAATGTAACCATTTCAATATTTGTTGCAAACATGAGTATTCTTGCATCCTACAGTGGTACTGCAATGGTCCCAAGGATGAGATTTTTTGTTTAAACACTAGGAAAACTCCCTTTTGATAATGTTTCTTGAAAGGGTGGCACTTTCAGGGTGGCAAAACTACTGCTTTGATGTGGATACTTGAGGGTGGAATGTTTGAATTTGTCCCCCTGCTAGATGGCTAATGTAGAAGGAAGCCAGATAGCAAGTACTTTTGCTAGGAGCCATTTATCAAGCTTGTTTTTATTAGCGACTATGACTATGCTGGCAGTCAGGATTTCTTCAGTGAAGTAGGGGCATTCTCAAAGGTTGTACGACGTATTTAAGTAATACATGAGTATTGTAGTGAGAAAACACTGATGAATGAAAGAACGAAAAGGACACATAATTGTGAACTCTGTCAAACTGATGAGGCTAGAGGTGCAATGCTGTGCTACAGAATATTACATAACATGACAAATAACATATTACATGCCAGCATTAGGCCACTATAACTACCATGCCTTTTATCCTTAAAGGAATATCGAAGGTTTGTCCAACATAAGAATTAACTGATGGAAGAATTGATAAAAGGGTTTTACAAACGTATGTTTTTGCACAAACATTTACTCACAAATTCAATTGCCCAATGGCTTCTGTTATTATTTCCCTGTTCCCTAGGCTTATACACATCTCCTTGGGTTCATAAAACATTTTCATAGTCTTTTGATTCTATATCCCTTACATGGCTATAGATAAACTGAATGCACTGTGTGTGTTCTCATTCTGATTGCTGTAAAGATTTCATGAAAGATTGCATCAGTTTCCATCTCCCTGAAGATTACGCCAAACCCACACATATTGTTTTACTGTTTTCTCATTAGTGGGAGATTTTTTCCCTTCTTCACTGTAGTTCCCACAATGTTGTTCTTGTTTCTACTCTGCAGTTCAGACAAACATCTGCTCAGTGTGGGAGTCAGTCCTATTCCAAATCACAGCAAGCACCATAGCCAAAGGCAACAAAACCCATGGTGACCCCCACTCAAGCTCTGGCCGCACTTACATCAGGACCGTCTATGGTTTCATGTGTTTGGATTAAAATTAGTTAAGTTGTAATCCTACACCCTCTAGCTCCATGGATATCATATGCTGCAATCCGAAATGTCTCACACAAAGAGACATGCACCAGTTTCCTCCCACACAGACATGGACACCCTTCAAAACGCTTTCATGCAGAGGTTGTTCTGTAAACCAAGTAGGGACACAGTGGTACTGTATGTCAGAATTAGCTACAATGGGCAGACACTCAAACCTCTAAGACGACTTAATAATGTGTAAGGACAGTTTGTGAAGAAATATAAAGTCTAGTGTTGGGTGTAAACTGCAATGTCAAAGGTTTTTACAAATACAAATTCCATTTGGTCAAGACATAGGGTCAGTCTGGGAAACTGGCCCACGTAACTTAACCTTTAAGACTCCAAAATGACACAATAGTACATGTAAAGCTCAAAATTAAAGCCCCCCCTCCCCCAAAATGACACATTACATGTACATGTAGGGTAGGTTTTCCAGACAGGGATTAAGCCTAGTCCTGGACTACACAGTACTCTGAAAGGAGATTCTTCAGTGAAAGGAAAATGCAGACCAGGCTTAATCTCTGTCAGGGAAACTGACCGTTCAAGCTCAAATTTAAACAAACCCAAAATAACACATTAGTACATATAGAGCTAAAACATTCAGACCTCAAAATGACACAACAGTACACATAAAGCTCACACTTAAAGACCTAAAATAATACAATAATCAATACAAAGCCTAAACTTTAAGATCCCCAAATTACACAATACTACAGGTTAAGCTAAAACTCACAGAGCCCAAAAAGACACAGAATTACAGGCAAATTTTTACAGGTAAAACTTTAAGACCACCCAAATGGCACAATAGCATATGTAAAGCTTAAACGTTAAGATCCCCTAAATGACACAATAGCCAAGGTTGGGTAAAATACTTGTAGTGATGTAGTGATGGCTGAATACTTAATACACTGTCTTAAACGTATTCAGTAATGTATTCTGTTACAATGCATAAAAAGTGATGTATTTAGAATACATTTAGAATACATCTTGGTAAGGCAGATGGGAAAAACAATTTTCTTTACTTAATTCATACTGTTCCTCAGTGTTACTGGTTGGCAGTTTTCTTCATGTAATTATTCTCTTAATATGTATCATGAAAAACTCATGTCCACTATTCAGAAGATTCTTAGTGTGATCATTCCTCTACAAAAGCTCAGTAATGCTGACACTAATAACTGACTTAACTGAGCAGGAACTTCAGTGTTTGTAAAGAAGCCATTAATTATGGTCCTCTTCAGAGTTAGTATTTTTTAATTTAGTGGGTAAGTATTCTAAAAGTACTAAAAATGCAAAAACCTGTATTCTCAATACTGTCTTTACAAAATGGAACTTGGACTGAATACAGTTTCTTAATTTCTGTATTCTGAATATGTATTCCAAATACTTGTATTCCATTACATCCCACCACTGACAATAGCATATGGAAATTTCAAATTTTAGGACCCCCAAATGACAAAATAGTACATATAAAGCTTAAACTTAAAGACCCCTAAAACAATACATGTAAAACTCAAACTTATCCCCCCACCACCCCCCACCCCCCAAATGGCACAATAGGACATGTGTAGCTTAAACGTTAAGACCCCCCAAATGATACAACAGTACATGTAAAGCCCGAATGCTGACTGGCAAAAGAAGTGTTACATGAAAAAGAGTCTGCATTACATGTCATTTTGTTTAACCAATTTGAAAAGGCTGAAAAACAATTTGTACTTAACTGAACACATAACACTCTGAATGTACTATTGTACCGCTGAAAGCACATGGAAAGCGCGTAAAATTCATCCCCATAACGCCTTTTTACGCAGCATGGTCAAAAACGTGACTCTTTGTGCGGAATCCGCACATCTGGAACAGCTGCGCACGTTCAAGGTGGCTCGACGCTTCAAGACGGACAGTGTTCTACGTTCGACGGCACAGCATACAACACTTAGAATGATCACTAAATTTAACAAAGCATGTAATCGTAAATCAGGTGCGCGTTAAAATCATCGAGAAACACGTCGAAACTGCCGCGTCATGGTTTAGAGTAGCACAGAAAAACTGGAAATCGCCAACGACACACATACAAACCTCCAGCCACCCGACTACAAACACGCTCGACCGTACCTTCATCTCTTGGCTGACCTCTCTTTTGACGGGATGAGCCGGCTTCCTGCTGCGCTTGTTTTCCGGTGGCCTCCCTTTTTCCATCTTTGGCATCGTTTGCGGCTCAGCAGTGCGAGCACCACCGCGCAGAAAGCGAGTTCAGTTGAGAGTAGAGCGAGAAGCGAAAGCGCTCTCGCTCTGACCGCTAAATTGCACGTAGTGGTCCGAACTGGCTCGCTAAAACAATGCGCGAGGGAGCACAGGGGGAGGGTCTCGAACTGTAACCAAACACCTAGCGCCGACCTCTCGCGCTCCTGCACAGAGCAAGAGGGCCGAAGTGATTTATCAGTATGTGCAGAGAGAACGCCGTGGATATCGTCAGTACTTACAGAACACCAACTGCTGAAGTTGACCAACTGCATGTTTCATAACAGAGGGTATAATTAACTGGATTTAGTGCAGTATTGTATGTGAAATATTAACCTCTTCAAATCCTTGAGACCACCGGTGGTTCCAAAACGCACTTCGTCATACTCTTCATAACTTTCATATTTCTTAAGCAACATTCAAAAAGTGGCTGTCGTGTGAGAGCTGTAACTGTCTTCTTTCCAGTCAAATAGACGGGTAATGTAATTTTAAACCCTTATAATAGAAGAAGCTGAATTCACAATTTCTTTTGTCTACTGAAAGTTGACCCATTTTTCCACAAATCTGGGCTATAAACTATAAACAGATGGTGTCTCTTCAGTGATATACTCTGTAAAAATTATTTTTGTAAAATAATACAAAGAGCGTCTAAGATTTTTGGCTTTCAGCAGTAAATTGTAAGCATATAGCAATATGTGTATGATCATACAACACATTTTCTGTTAATTTGTGGAGAGCTTTTAGAAAAAAATAAATAAATAAAATAAAAATTTACATTTATTTCATGCAGTTACTGAATAATTTGCCTTATGATTTGGTCATGTAAATTCAGATGGACGAACCAAAATATACCCTGGAGAAAAAAGTCATTGTATTCATATATTTTTTAAAATGTGGCACTTCTTTTTTGCCTGTTCCAACTGATCAGCTGACATTTCGTGTATCTTGAAATATAGTGGTATTATATTTTTGTCATATCACCCAACCCTAATTTTAAATAAGATGATATCACACATAGCAAATCTCATTTACAATATTTCTTGAAGAAGCCTTGAAAGGGTCCAAAATACAAGTGATACTTCTATGGCAGATGGCAGACTATTCGTATCTTCATTTCTAGAGTGATGTTTTTTTTTTTGTTTTTTTTTTGAATTTATGGATTTGGTAACCCCTGGGTTGGTAACCCAGGCCCAGCAGTCTTAGAAAAACTAAAGTTTTACCGTCTCTCTCTCTCTCACTGAAACAGTGAAGATCTCTGCCTTGGTGTTTTGAAGAATCTGTGTGTCTATGAGTTAGAGAGCTCTTTCAGCAGTGTAGAGTAGCTCAGATTTCAGGTCTTTCTGTAACCCTGCGGCTGACATCTGATCTTCACTGGCCTGGAATCAATGCAGATATGAACGTAGAAAATATGATTAAAAAAACTGGTATGAAAATAATTTCTCTCTGTATAATGTGTGTACAGTTCAATGATGGTGACTATGTTGGACATAAATTTGACATTTGAAATTCATGCAAGGTTTCTGATTTTGAGTTGGCATAGTATGAATCCAGTTATGATTCAGAATTCAGAGATGACGGTCAAGTTCCAAAAGGTTTCTTTGGAGTGGTGCCATAGAAAAACCACCTTAGGTTTTCTAAAGGAACTGTAGAGTTCTTGTGTGAACCTAAGGTTGTTTTTCCATGGCACTCTTTCTAAATATTTTTCATTAGGGAAAAATGGTTCTTTCAGTTGATGGTTCTTTAAAGGAGTACTCCAGCATTTTCCAGCCATTAATCTCTATTTGTCACATCTGTTGATCTGTTGATTAGCACTGATCATAATTTAGACACATTTCACTGTACTTAAGGAGAGGGATTGAGGATTTGAAAACTTCCTAAAGTTCGGTTTCAGTTCTTTTGCTAAGTATGCTAAGTCATGCAAAACTGCTGAAATTATTGTCTGTAATGATAACTTTGGGTCCTTACTTTTAAAAAAAACCCTTCCAAATTCAGGAAGCATAAATCTACTGTGAAGGAGACTTTAGAAAATCACCTAATTGAGGTAAATGTTCAACTCCCACTTGTCAATATCAAAAGCAATTACCAGTTGAATTAGTAGCTGGAAACTCAGGTAAGAAAATATGACTTGAAATTGACTTGAAGATGTTGCATTTAAGGTTTGACTCTAATCTAATTAAAACCAAGCGCCCTCAGATTTTCAGCACCATCAGCATACCATGTCACTTTATGGCCTTTTGTGATACAGTGTGGGGGGAGATCACATTCAATCAAGGAAAAGCATAAAGCAATTATGAAACAATACTTGCAAATACTTTATCATTATATGGCTGACTGTAAAATGTATGGTATTTGTAAAGCAGGTCTGCCAAAGTCACCAAAGGAGGCCTGTGAAGATGTTTGATTTGGCCCACCAAAATGTTAGGCTGACGCCTTCTTCCCAACAAGTGAACAAACATTTTAAAACTATATATAATTTATTGAATTCTTATTTTAGTGTTTCCCCACGACCCAGAAGGATAAGTGGCTTAGAAAATGTGTGTGTGTATTTTAGTATTTTAATAACAAAATATAATGTTATAAAATATTTTTTAAAATACATTTTGAACCTACCTACCTTCTTTATTTGCATTTTATTGAGTCTTTTTGGCCCTCAGCTCACCACAAACACTGCATTTCATCCTCCCAAGACAAACATTTTGGGCACTCCTGATTTAAAGGAATGGCTTGGTTTAAAATGCTGTAATAATTGTACCTACATATGAAAGATACAGTGGATTAAAATAGTTATTAGCTGTAAATTCCTGATACTGGCTTTAATTAGGGCAAGACTACCTTTAAAATTATAGACATGCAGTTTGTTGGAAAGTTGACAAAAGCTGCCATCTAGGGGTTCAAGTGCTAATTGTGTCATGTACTGATATGGGTGAAAATGAATACATTTTTGCACTCTATGTTATTGTTTGGACTGAACATCAGCGTTCAGTGTTCAACGTTAAAACAGCATTAACATCAAGTTATGCTACACTGACATGATAAACTGTTTGTGAGAGGGTATTTCAGAGAGAAAACAGGCCATATCAGTGCAATACATAGACGTGCCTACCAGTAGTGAAGAGTAGGCTTAATTTACTACTGATTATCCTGCTTGTCAGGAAAGTAAGCTCCAACACAATACACTGATTCACATGGCCATCTCTGAGCATTTTGGTGCCCTAAGTGACATCATAGTTGGAGAGGCCTCACACACCAATAATATTATTTTGTGTGCAAGAAAGACAAATAATTTATACCTAAGAGTGTTCATTAACTTAAAAATTAATAATTAAGAGTGACTCAAATGAGAAGGAGTGTATTTGAACCAACTACAGCAGGAAATTACCCTTATAGACGGTGTGGTTCCATACAGACTACCAAACAAAAAGTGGAGTACTTATCTGGATATGTTACCTCCTCTTTCATTCACACTTTTTTTTACCTAGCTAGTGTGTGGCTTAAATGCCTGTTCTTTTATATGATAATTTTAGAATTTTCATGTTATTCAAACTTCATGTACACTTTACAAAGAAATGTTTCACTCAGCCATCACCATTTTCAACTCAGTTACTTTAATGGCATATTTCACTCAATCACTGGCATAATTTACCACAGCAACAGGCAAATTTCAATGTAGGGCTTCTGGCAAACGCAGTTAGTTAGCAAATGACAATGACACTATGACTGTGCTGTACTATATTAATGCCCACCATAATTAAAATCAATATTAGACCACATGTGGCTTGAAGTTTACACTGAAAGAGCTGTCATTATAAAACATTTAGGAGAAACAGGCAAATACCAATTGTCTTACATCTCATGTAACATTATTAGCCTAGTCTCATGACTTCACTTACTTCAGCATACCTTACCTTACCTCATACTTTTTAGCTGGAAAATAGTTTTTGATGAGTTAGTTAGCAAATACCAAATGTTATAGATCCAATAAATTATGCTGAAAGTTTTACAGAACATAAAATGAGCCTAATGGTTAATGGTTATGAGCATTCTCACTGTAAAGCTTCCTGTGTCCTGTTTAACTATGGCTGCATTCAAAGTTGAATGAACTTCTTTTATATCTGCTTGCCTTGTCTTTTATCTTAATAATGTAGAGCCACAAGCTAGATCAGCTCTGCCAACATATATTGACCACCACTTGTGCTACAGATCAGGCAGAGTAAAAAAAAAAACAGGTAGGAAGGAAAGATTCACTCAGCTATTCAGAACCAGCCTAGAATGACTATCCCTGCCACAGTAGTGGATCACTAATAAGACACTGCATCTTTACATCACATTCCCAAGCCCAGACCAAGGACCCAAAAGATATCAAACAAGACAATGTAAGCTAGACCTTCAGCTTGTAATAAAAGTCAAAACTTAGCCAAAAACAAGAAGAAAAAAATCCGATATGATAATGTTAATTTCTGCTAGCATCCCTGCTAATATTCTAATAGTATGTTATAATAATAGTGCACTATAATAATAGTGTTATAATAGTGCATTCTAATAGTATGTTAGTGTTCAGTTAACTGCAATTCACATAAATATTTTATGGATGTTCTAGATTAAACAGGGACATCTGAAGCTTATAAAAGACATTATTTCAATAAGGTGATCTGGTGTAGGGCTGCCATTTTTTTTCCAGTTCTAACTTCAGAGTGAAACACACTGGTTAGGCCACCACTCATACTCGCGCTCAGTGATATGTCTAGGACTTTCAGACGGCACAGAGTGTGACCTTTATTTTTCATAAAATCAGTCCCAGCCATTGGAAATCAAAACCTTATAGGTGGATTCCACTGTCAGTTCCCTATCATGGTGAATCTGATGTAATTGGCCTTCAGTCCAACTTTTGAGGCAGGAGCTTCGCCTGGGCTTTCAGGGCTATAGCCCTGAATATTTTTTAACCATCCCGAACTTTATAATGTTAACATTTCACACTTTTCACCCCAGCTCAGTTACGCATCATTCTCATCATCCATGTTTTCATTCAGGGGTACAGGCACCCACTCCTTTAACTCAGAGCGAGAGCACGGCCATAACTAGGA